GGGTGAAGATAGCGAAAGAGAGAAAGAGAACGAGACAGACATACTTACACACATACATACATGCAGACCTACGTAATATGACACACCTTTATTATTTTCTCGTTATACATTGATACAGGCAGAGAGACAGACAAATCTAGATCTGTTATCAAGTCTTACCAACGTTTTGCTCTGTCCACCCCCTTCCCTCTTTCCCAGTAAGTCACAATCAGGTCAACTGTACCACAAACGACGAGTGTGTGACCGCCTGTGGAAAGGACCACGCCAAGTGTCATGACGACAAGCTCTGTCACTGCCACCTGGCTTGAGTGGTCAGTCAACGGACAGACACAAGACGGGGAGAAAGTGGAGCTGTTCAGTTCACAAGGACAACGATTGTGCATAATATTCAAATATTTATTTTTGGACTCTGGTTATACCACAAAAGGCATTGGTTCATAAAATTGATATGGGGTTTAAAAGTATACCATATAAAAACTACAATATTTTCAGTTTATCACTAAAGCTATTGCACGTGAAATATAAACGTGATTTCATAACTGGACGCACGTTTTGTTCTTTTGTCTGAGCTATCACCAGTAGGCTATATAAATCTTCATCATACCTATTTTTATCAGGGGGCTCTCTTGGCCTAGGGGTTAAGGTGCTCGCCTCTCAATCCAAGGTTCCGCGCTCAAATCCGGATAACGACAGAAAAAAAATTCTCTAAAATTGTCCCCGTTCACCTTGTTTCCTGCTGTCTAGAATGTTCTGTCGTCTACTTTCGTCTCCACTTTCTGCCTAGTCCCCTCACCTCCTTTGCACCCTCCTCTGGGCTCCTGACTCTTTCTGCAGTCTTTCTACTGCTACTCCTTAGCTCCACCTTACTGCTGTCTTTCAACCACACCCCTGGTAGGAAAGATCTACACCTAGCCTTGCCGGACAAGGGCAAAAAATCTCGGAGGTCCCGTGTGCAAGTTGCGCACCCTAAAGATCGCTTTTTGATCTAAAATTGATAAGAGTAGGCTTGTTGGAATACAAGAACTAGTGTCTACTTTCTATATTTAGTATCAGCAACATATTAAGGCTTCACTCACTCGATACTGACAGAAAAAAAACAAGTTCAGATCTTGAGACTTTGTTGATATCGTTGAGACTACTTTATTGCGCATGCACACATCAAGGAAGTTATTAGTTTCAAATACACATATACTAAATGTCGGAACAGTACACTAAGCAAGTTTACCGTACAGCATGGGGCGTGAGACATGGCGATAACAAGGATAGACGCCACACAGCTCCCCCACAACGTCAGTATGCTGATGGACATAAAAACTAAATTAGAATAGAATCTATACTAAAGTCTTTTGTATTTGGCTGGTGTCTGCACGAGTCTACCAGTCCGCTTTGTAATCTGTGGAGGAGTGTTTTTCTTCAGCGAAGGGAACTCTTCTGGGTAAGTTAAGTCTAGTTTCAACGAAGGCTTGGGAGCCTGAGTGAGTGTTCGTAGTGGTTGGTAGGGTTGTTGTTTCCCTTAGGCTGGTTTCAGTCTATCGATGGACACTGGAATGGATTGTCTATCTTTTTGAATAACAAAGTGTTTTTCTGTCCTGGACAGGACCTGAAAGGGTTCAACAAAAGGCTTTATAAATGGGCCTCTGAGGGCATTATGCCGTAGACAAACTTGATCAGCTGGCATTATATTTCTTGGTATAAAGGAGCGCCGTGGACCATGTTGGGCGGGAGAGTAAGGGGTGAGCCTTCTCATTGTTTCTTAAAGATCCTGGACAAATGTGTTGCTGGATAGCAGTTTGTCCGCAAAGGGAGATGGCATGAAATCTCCAGGTACTCGGAGGTGGTGCCATATGTGAGAATTGCTGGTGAAGCACCGAGGTCTTCCTTCCAGGTGGACCTGAGTCCGAGAAGAACAATGGGAAGCTCATCCGTCCAGCGTGTTCCAGTAAGGCGTGCTTTAAGGGCAGCTTAACGATCACCGTGGAATCTTTCGACCAACCCGTTAGCTTGGGGGTGGTACGCTGTGGTGTGCCTGGGGCTTGCACCGAGTACAGCGTGAAGTTCGCGCCACAGCGCGCTGGTGAACGGAAGGCCTTGGTCTGTGGTGACCAAGTCTGGGACGCCGAAACGTGAAATCCAATTGCGCGGTAAGGCCCGGGCGCACGTGATAGCTTCTGCGTTTTAGATGGGAATGGCTTCCGGCCATTGTATGAATCTGTCAACAATCGTTAGCAAGTAGGTGTATCCTTCTGATGAGGGGAGAGGAACAACAAGGTCCAGATGTATATCCCCGAATATTCAGTTCGGAGGTCGGAAGGTATCCAGCTGGGCTTTTGTGTGTCGACCAACTTTGCAGGCTTGACATGCGTGGCAGGTGCGAGCCATGTTCTTCACTTCTCTCTTCAGGTCTGGCCAAACGTAGCGTGCTGAGATGGCGCGGATCGTGGGTTCGGGTCCAGGGTGAGAAAGGTTGTACAGTGCCTCAAAATCAGTTTTGGTCCGTGATCGGGGTACGACAGGGCGAGGGTGGACCATAGACCTGTCGCACAGGATCAGTGTGCCCGAAAAGGAACGTCTGCAAACTTCAATGAACTTAAATGATCACGCAGGGTTGCAACTTTTGGGTCGATGCTTTGATCTGCTGCAATCTGTATCATGTCGATGGCAGGGACGCTGGATGTGGATGCCACCAGGGGTTTGAGTTCAATCACAGGGGCGCGGGACAAAGTGTGAGGAGCAAGATTTTCTGAACCACTAATGTGTCTGATGTCAATGATGAACTCTGCGATGTATGAAAGTTGACGCTTTTGACGTGGGGACCTATCCGCCAAACTGTTTAGTGTATAAGTCAGGGGCTTGTAATCAGTAAAGATGTTAAAGGTCCTGCCTTCCATGAAATAGCAGAAATGCTTTGTAGCGCTATATATTGCTAGCAGCTCCCGATCAATGGTGGAGTATCGGCTTTGAGTGGGTGTCAGTTTCCTAGAAAGGAAAGCGATGGGTCGCCAAAGACCTTTGTGGAGTTGAGATAGCTCTGCCCCCCAGAGCTGAGTCTGACGCGTCCATTGAGAGACGTGTTTCTACGTGAGGGTTTGAGTGTGGAAGCCTGACCACAGAGGCCAAGGTAGATTTAGCACTCTGAAACGCGGCTTGACACTTGGCTGTCCAGTGCAGCTTCTTGAATTTACCTTTTGTTGATTCTGTCAGCGGTAAGATAGTTTTGGCTAGGCCTGGAAGTCGGTTGTAAAAACTCAACTTTCCTGGAAACCGTTAAAGGGCTTTTTTGTCAGTCAGCACTGGAAGGTCTGTGATAGATCGCACTTTCTCGGGTAGAGGTTTGATTCCAGAATAGGAAATTGAGTGTCCCAGGAATGTCATTGACGAATGTCCGAAACAACAATTTTTGGCATTGATGACTGAACCGTTTGCGGCCAACAGACGGAGAACCATTCGAGGATCCGTCTCGTGTTGTTCTGGTGTGTTTCTGGCTTCCAGTATGTCGTCGATGTACGCAAAAGGATTTCAGATAACGCAGAATCGCAGTGTACGTCGTGCCTTGTAGCCATGACACCTGGAGTAGGCAGGTCTACTTTCGGCTGTCTTAGCGAGAGTTTCAAGGTCGACCTTTGGGGTTTGGGCTAAAATGCGACGATCCTCCGTGGGTAGTTGGTTGATGAAAAAAGGGTTCTTGGGTCAGAGTTCAGCGACCTCTTGTGTTGAAGGAGCTCTGAGGGCCTGCAGTCTCCCGGGCCATTCATGTTCAGTAGTGCGGAATCCTTTTGAAGCTGGGTAGAATTTAGAGAAGGGCGCAGCACAACAGAACAGATCTTCAACATCAGGATACTGTGTAAGAGGTACCTGAAACACCAACAAAACCTATACCATATCTTCATGGGTTTTAAAAGGGCCTTCGACAGGGTCTGGCATTCAGCCTTATGGGCAACCATGAGGAAATATAACATCAACGCCAACCTGATCAACGTCATACAACAACTATATGACAAGGCCTCCAGCGCAGTCTACCTTAATGGCAACATGGGGGATTGGTTCAGGACAACGGTCGGGGTGAGGCAAAGCTGTTTGATCTCTCTCCCACTCTCTTCAACATCTTCCTAGAACGAATCATGACTGACACTCTGGAAGACCACAATTGAACAATCGGTATTGGGGGCAGGACAATCACTAACTTGTGTTTTGCCGATGACATTGATGGATTAGCAGGAGAAGGACAGGAGCTCACCTCACATATAGTGGAGCGGCTGGACACAACCTCACCAGCCTACGGCATGGAGATCAGTGCCGAGAAAACCAAGCTAATGACCAATAACACCAATGGCATCAACGCGGGTATCAAAGTCAGAGGCGAGAAACTTGAGACCGTCAACAGCTTCAAATACCTTGGATCAATCGTCTCAGATGAAGGCTCAAGACCAGAAATTATCTCCAGAATCGCGCAAACAACAGCTGCGCTGTCAAAACTGAAGCCTATTTGGAGGGACAGAAACATCACGCACAACTAAAAAATCAGACTAATGCGCTCACTGGTCATCTCAATATTTTTATACACCTGCGAGTCGAGGACAATGTCAGCAGAATTAGAGAAAAAGATTAAGACCACAGAGATGAGATGTTACCGCAGACTCCTTGACATCTCGTACAAAGACCACGTTTCAAATGTTGAGATACGAAAGAGAATCACCAACGCAGTGGGGTAGGATGAAGATCTACTGACCACAGTGAAGCGACGAAAATTGAAATGGTAGGGGATGTCACAAGATCCACAGGACTGCAAGGAACCGTACAGGGAAAGAGAAAGAGAGGAAGGCAGAGAAGGAGATGGGAGGACAACATTACAGAGTGGACAGGAAAGACGATGATTGACAATCTGAGGAAAGCAGAGGACAAAAAATAAATGGCAAGAGCTGGTTTTCAGATGCAGTGGTGTCCTTACGGTTCCCCCAACCACGGAAAAGAAGAAGAAGAAGAAGAAGAAGAAGAAGAAGAAGAAGAAGAAGAAGAAGAAGATGCCGACAAGCGTGAATCAAAGTCGTAGGTCTAGCGAGGCAGAGCAGAACAGGGGTCGACCACTAGATCTAATTATACTAAGCCGTGAAACGTTTAGGTCTACTCACGGCGGGGTCACCAATGTAGGAATACAAGAACTAGCCTCTACTTTCTAAATCTAGTATCAGCAACATATTAAGGCTTTGCTCACTCGACACTGACAGAAAAAAACAAGTTCAGATCTCGAGACTTTGTTGTTGTCGTTGAGATTACTTTATTGCCCATGCGCGCATCAAGGAAGTTGCTAGTTTCAAATACACAGATACTAAATGTCGGAAAAGTACACTAAGCAAGTTTACCGTACAGCATGGGACGTGAGACATGACGATAACAATGATAGACGCCACAGGCTCGGGACGTCACCCGTGCAAAATTAAAAATGTCCTACCTATTGAAAATGTTTCGTGTGTCCTGCGCGGTCTTATGACCTTATGCAGTTGCGAGCTCCGTAATACACCAACCAAAACAAAACTAACAGTATTTTTTATTAAACAAGAAAACAGACCAATTGCATAATTCAGATCATCTGGAAGAAGGGCTTCCTATATCTGTTTAATATTTTTTATATATGTGTTTTTCCACCATTGTTCAGACAATTTAGATCATTGGGGGGGGGGGCGGGTACCCTGCCTGTTAGGACCAAACCTTGCTGAGGCAGAGATACATCATAATAAAACGAGATGCTCGGTAAACATTCTCTCCGCACGAGAACTGAACTCCGGTCTTTTGCGTTCGACAGCGTAGTGCCTATTCGCTTCACCACAGACGCCTGTGATTGGTCCTGGTTCTGAATGTTATGTTGTTGTAGAACCAGTTTGAGAAGGCTGAGTTCAGTTGTGAAAAGGAGAGAGAGAGAAGGGGAGAGAAAGGGAGAAAGACACATACACACACACACACACACACACACACACACACACACACACACACACACACAGAGAGAGAGAGAGAGAGAGAGAGAGACTGGGACAGAGACATAGAGAAAGAGTGAGAGACCGGGATAGATAGATAGATAGATAGAAAGATAGATAGATAGATAGATAGATAGACAGAGCGAGAGAAGGAAAGGGATAGATAGCATGGAAAAAATATAGATAAACAGGGACGGGCCGGGCCTTCTATCATGTTCAACACAAACTGGAGTTAGGGGACAAAAAAAAAAAAAAAAAAAAATTAAATGAAATAAAAAGCAGTTGCCCTCGATTCGGATAGGGGAACATTCCTGTTCTTCTCTCTCGGTCTTGATCGTGATTTCATTTTTTAAAACTCTAGTCTGGTTTCTGCCTGGCTCGTCTTAGTTCTTGGACAGTCAGCTGTTGTGTCAAGGATTTCCAGATTTGCGATGTGGACTGATAATATCATTTACCTGACTCCCATGACGGTATCTCGGCGTTAGGGGTCTTGTTAGTGCAGGCAAAAAGTACTCTCATAGTTTTCCGAACTCCTCTCAAATAAATAGATAAATAGATTCTGTATTTATTGTTTTACATGAAGCTTCCTTCTCTGGAGCAATTATATTTTCATATATTATCTATGTATTCCATCTTTCTGTCTAGACTTGATTTTGTCCTATCCGAGCTCTACTTTAGCTTGGGAAAACTAAAAGTTCCAGCTGACTTAATCAAGGTCACCTCTTTTCTCACGAGGGAAATTACTGCGGCATGACTTTCTTATCTAAACCGCTATAATTGTATCCTTGGAGGTAAAATTCTTTCGAGAGATATTATGCTTATTTTGGGAATCTTATTACTATTTTATATGATTAGGCACATTTTTGTAAACACTGTTGACGTCTCAAAACGTTACGGAAGGAAAAAAAATGCTTTGTTGCTGCTTATCCTCCATAAGTGTATGTCATTTCGTTGTCGTTGTTTATGTTGTTGTTGTTATTGTTGCTGTTGTTGTTGCTGTTGTTGTATTGTTATTAGTATATTTTCTTCTTCTCTTTTTATTTTCCATTTTATGTTTCCTCCTTTTTTTTCTTTTCTTGTCTTTTCTTTTTTCCTCTTCTTCTGAGATATATCTAAAACGTGGCTTCTTTTGTTACTGTTTCTTTGTTTATTGACTCTGATCTGCCCACGAGGTCGGTCGATGGCTGGCGGCGTGGCTGACACTGAACTACACCAGACTTGCAAAGTTTTAGCAGCTCAGTACCCAGTTTTGACAAATTTGACATAAAAGTGTTGAGTGTCACAACATTTCAAGCTTTTCAAAAGCATATCTTTGAATATCTTGACAACGTCTCCAAATAAACTTTCGATTTTGATTGAGCACGTTGAGCATTTTGGTATCTGATCTAATCGTCAAAACACCTTTCCTTCTGAAATGGACATTAAATGTTAGAGATAGAAGCATTCTTTAACTATCTTTTGTGGTACAGCTTGTAAACAGCTTTACAGACATTTCAACACAGGCGGTCCTTTAAAAGACAAATCGTCTGATTTATTTTGTTTTAGCAAGAGTTTTACTGTTGCAAGTGCTGTTAAACTCTCACTAAAACAAAAATAAATAAGATCATTTCATTTTCACTTGACCATTTAGTTCACATGGTTGAGGGCAGCCGATATCTATTTTGGCCCTACCTCTTGAAACGTTTTTTCTGTATTTCTCATTGTCCATATTTGTTTTCCCAAACCTGAAAGATTATTATCATAGCTCTACTTATTATTCATTAGCTAAAACATCAAACAAAAATGGATTTTTCACAATCATTGACAAAGAGCAAGTAGAAGGTAGGCTCTTGGATATAATTCATCAATACTGATGAGTTATAGTGATACTTTCGTTAAAGGAACGGACATTCTAAACACTTTCATATTCTATTTCCATTTGTTATGAAGTAGAAGTCAAGCTATTAATTGCTCAAAATATGGCAATATTTCTTTGTGCTAGAATTAGTCTCACTGGCCATAGAAAAAGCCTCAAGTCCCCTAAATCCTTTTTTTTCTCTTTTGTTTAACTTTCAGAAATGTTCTCCTGGGCAGATGCGTTCATCATCACCTATCAATTTACGCATGAACTTTTAATCTTTTTTATGATAAGACATACTGTACTAAGATAGTACAAAAATATGTTTGGAAACATTCCTAAATATCTTAGTTCTCGGCCAGAATCGTGATTTTAAAACATTCGCAGAACAAGACATTTTTGACACACTCGTAGACTGATAAATAGAGTTGCTGCTTTGTTGGGTTTTTCATTTTTTTTCATTTTTTTTTGGGGGGGGTGTCAAGAGTTCACATTTTTCTCATCGTTTTGACGCTTTACTTTAAGGCTCAAGCCACGACTGATAGGGTATAAAAGAGTAACATTTGAAACCTTTTCTCAAACATATAATCGACAATCAGTAATTGACATCAAGAACTTTTAAAACTTGCAGCCATGTACAAATTTGCGGTCTTGGGTCTTGCCCTTTGTAAGTTTCTTTGTTCTTGTTGTTTGATGGTTTGTTGGTTCATTGGGTTGTTTTGCGTCGATTGGCATTTCTTAAAAATTGCAGGTATTTATATACCATCAAACAACACAATTTCGATCATTTAGAATGCGAGTCTCGACCTTTTCTGTCAGGACCAGCCGGGGTGAGAGAGACGTAATATTATGGTCCTTACAGAAAGACCGAGATTATCAAGAAAAATTGTGACCACATGGAAATCGAATTCAGATCTTCCGAATTCGACAGCAAAGCACCTAACTCTACACTACAGACGCCGGTTTGGTCTTTGGGGAAAAATGTAATCCTCTTGTATCTTACAATGAGCAGGGAAAGACGTTTACCATTATTTTATTCCACTGACTTAGTCGAGACTTACAGTCATGTGTGATATACCAGTTAGGCGCTTCGCTGTCGAAAGCAGGGGGCCTGAGTTCGATTCTCGTGTTAGGAGAACATATAGAGTATATCGGTCTTTCTTCTGGGATATGTGTTGCATCCCTCTTACCTCGGGTAGGCCCAAGCAGGCAGGGTCGATTTCTGAATGGTGTCTAAACGAGCATCACTTAAGACGGGATAACTCTCAAACAGACTGCTGGAGAATTACGTATTTCCTGGAAAAACATTCTTTACATTTAACCGCGGGCCCTGTTTGTCGCCACTATTAATACGTTGAAAGTTTCCTCCCTACCACAATATATCGAAGGCCCAGGAAGTTGTCTCACAAACAAGGCAATCCCCAATTCTCCGGATCGGATGCGGGAACAACTTTTACAGTCGAAACTGTCCAAGACAGAAATCAATTTTCGACGCAGGACGTGTTGGGCATTGTCATTAATTTTTAGTATAGAAAAAAAGTTTGAAGTGGTATATGGAGGTTCATACAGGTGATTGTCTTGGACTGGTCATTGCTAGAGCAGGTTCAGCTTTATTTACCTGAAACATTATGAAACTTTATATTGTCCTATTCGCGTGGCAGTTATCAGATACTTTTTCCATGTATCAAATAACTGTAGGGGAATTCCTGGTGTCTCATAAGCGTTGCTGTTTTCAACACAATGTTATTGTTTATTCTTATACTCATAAAATAATGGTATGGGTATTCCGGGTGTCCTGAAGGCATAGCTGTTTTCAGCACAATGTTGCTTACTTTTCGATTCATAAATTTTAATAACTGTATGAGTATTCCTGGTGTCCTGTAGGCGTGGCCGTTGTGTACAGCCAGACGTCTTGCAGCACCTACCACGACTGTCACCCATCGCCGTGCCACGACTCACATGTCGCCTCATGCAACAACGACACCAACCTGTGTGAATGCAGCGACGGCAACTACAACCACAACAACCACAGCGACAACTACGAAAACCATAGCAACCATAGCAACCACAGCAACCATAGCAACCACAGCAACCACAGCGACAACCACAACAACCAGCACGCTGACCATAAAAACCACAACCACAACAACAACTGTAAGTTGTCGAGCGGTACTAAGGGCCCGTTCCGTAAAGCTAATTATAGCAGCTTATGTAGATACCATACCGTATTGATAAAATGCAATTGTAGGTATACGCCTCCATCGACACATTTAACACCTGTAATTACCCGAATGAACCCAGCGCCGTCCCAAATGAGCAAACTGCACGGGTTGTCAAGCATCGCTGTAGAGAGTGCACTTTTGACCGTTTCTGGTCGGGATAAGGATGGCGAAAGTTCTGACGTTTTTGAGGAATCTGTCCAGAAGACAGCTGTCCACTGGATTTAATTTAACTAGAGTGAGTGAGAGAGCGAGAGCGAGAGAGAGAGAGCGAGAGAGAGAGAGAGGGAGAGAGAGAGAGAGAAGTGGGGATACGAACGGGGGAGAGGGAGCAAGACCAAGAGCGTGACAAAGAGAGGGGGAGAGAGAGCGGGGGAGAGGGAGAGAGACAGAGAGCAAAAGAGAGATAGAGATAGATAGATAGATAGATAGATAGATAGATAGATAGATAGATAGATAGATAGATAGATAGATAGAGAGAAAGAGAAAGAGAGAGAGAAAGAGAGAGAGATGGAGAGAGTGAGAGAGAGAGAGAGAGAGAGAGAGAGAGAGAGAGAGAGAAAGAGAGAAAGAGAGAGAGAGACATACATACATGCAGACAGAAACACAAGGTATCTGATTATAGTCTTGTTGCATGTATTTGCTAACTGCCTGTTAACTTTTTCTTATCCGGGCTGGTCTGTTTTAAATCGCAGCGCTTCTTCGTCTTGTTTCATATTGCAATAAGTTTTAATGAAGAAAATAGAAAACATGGATCTTTCTATGTTTACACCACCAGTCTCGTTCCTACGTTCGTGTTATTTCACTAGTATTGGGAGTAAATGTTATTTCATATTATTGATAATTTGACAAGAATCTTGGGTTGTTTTGTGTTGTTTTTTTACTTCAGACCCTGTTGTAGGCAAGAGAGCGACCTCGTGCAAAGCTGACCACGACTGTCACCCACCTGTATGTGGTAACAGCCATCAAGGAGTCTGTCAGAACGGACAGTGTGATTGTAACGCCCCACGAGGTACTTATCCCCAGCCAGATGTTAAAATGTTCTTTATACAAATATTATGTTCTTTTTATTGCAGTTTCTTAACATCTGTGGTATCGGTTGCATGTGCTAACAGACATACTATATTATACTGGCGAACATATTCAATTGAACACACTTTTCTTCTTCCCTCAGTATAAATACAGGCAGACGGACGTTCAAAATTTATACTAATAGACAGAGAGACTGACGTACATAATATACATATATATGGACATACAAAGCAAAAAATCTGTAATGAAAGTCGCCATCTGCGAAGTTTGTCTAATGTTTTCCGCGGCGTCGGTAGCCTAGTGGTTAAACTGTCGGACTCGTAATTGTGAGATTGCTGGTTCAGGACATTGAGGCCCTGGGAAATTCAATTTACACGATCTTCCCAATTGGTTCAGTCCTTTCGAAGATGGGCGGTAAACTCGGGGTTTTCTGCCTCTTAAATAATGTTAAAGTGTTGATAGGAACACGAAACTTATACCATTTCACTTCTTTCACCAATGTGTTCTTCTGTCCACCCACCCCCCCCCCCCCCCCCCTTTTCCAGTAAGTCACAATCAGGTCAACTGTACCACAAACGACGAGTGTGTGACCGCCTGTGGTAAGGACCATGCCAAGTGTCATGACGACATGCTCTGTCACTGCCACCTGGCCTGAGTGGTCAGTCAACAGACAGACACCAGACGGGGAGAGAGCTGGGCGAGTTTATTCACAAGGACAGCGACTGCGGATAATAAATAGCGATTTATCTCTTGTTTCTGAATACATCACTAAAGGCTTTGACTCATATTTAAATTCCAAATGTTAAAAAAGCAAGAAAATGTACGACTGCGTAGTTAAACCAATGAAACAGTTTATATTCTTTTTCTTTTAAAATGTTGCTTTCTAGACAGTGATATTGCATAGTATTCAAAGATTTCTCTCTTGTCTCTGATTACACCAAGGAAGGCATTGGCTCATGGATATGCAGTTGAAAAGTAGACGGTATAAAACAGCAATGATTTCTACTAAAACTGCTGCATGAGGAAAAAAAAATAAAGAAATGATTTCATAAATGGGCGCTCTTTTTGTTCTTTTGTCTAGGCTAAACCAGTCTGAAATCTTGTTCACATCTAATTTGTTGTCGGTAACTTTACGCCCCCCCGAACCCAATTTATATCATATTACGTGTCGGAGGATAGTTTCGACCCTTCCTGTCCGAGCCAAACCTAAGTGGGTACCGGAGTACAACGTCCCGACAGGAAAGACCGAGATACCTTTTTAAATCCCCTCCTTGTATTCGAGCTAGGGTCTTATGTTTGTAGCGGCGAGACCATTGTAACACCACTAACGCTCTTGATTGTACACAGTCTGTTCACCGTCATATGTTTTTGTCGTTCAAAGTTCACTCGTTACTGTAACAACTTTTTCACCATGTTCCTTTCTCATTATCATTTCAGTTCTTCGGGGATTGCGATCGAGAAAACTATTTGTGAGGTATTTTTAAAAAATGTGTCACAACGCGGTGGAATTAGGCACTCGTCTATTTTGGGGCATATAGAGTTATAAGAACATTATAAAGCCTGTTCATTTGTCTTGCATTTGACCCCAAAGAATACCCATCTGTTTCGAATAAAAGACGAAATATTTGCAATTGAAGGAGGTGGGAATCTCCTGATGTGAGAGATAAAATTAGCGAGAAAATGGCAGACAAACTTTGGTGATTTCAAAGCTAGAGTGTCCATGAAATTTACATTTTTGTGATTTAACCAACAGTTTCACGTTTTCCTGTAACAGCCACACAGAAATGAGTTCTTAAAAGGGCATAACAGGTCTTAAACCAAAAAGACATTTTAAAAAATTGCCCAACGCCCAGAAAAATGATGGTTTCTTTGTTTTCATTCTTTTGACGAGCGTCTGATTTCACCACGCTGCATCACAATCTAATGTTGACCTTAGTATTTATGAAATCAAGATGATTTATTTGAACAGGGTCGAGAAAGAGTTCTGTTACATGTATTGATGGAACGAACTGTGTCGAGTTACCATTAATTAGCAGCTTGCGTTTGATTTAACCATACTCTGCTTGTGAGTCAATGTGTACCAGTGTGTGCGTGTTTGAGTGTGTCGTATATATATATATATATATATATATATATATATATATATATATATATATATATATACATACATTATATATATATATATATATATATATATATATATATATATATATATATATATATATACGACACACATACATATATATATAAAATAAGCAAAAATTCGATATTTATATCATCATCATCATCATCATCATCATCATCATCATCATCATCATCATCATCATCATCTGCAAGGGGCTGTTGGGCAACAGCTCGGACATGAATGATTTGCGCAGCCAGAGCCACAATAATAACCCAGTGGATTCCATGCCATATTGGTATAGAAGGAAATGAGGCAGCAGACCAAGCTGCTAATGAAGCCAGAGAGATTGAAGAAAACAGACGACCAACAACATACAGAGGAGTCTTTCCAATGATCAAGAGGGAAATCAAAGACCCACCATGTAGAACTAAGTACCAGCACCTGCAAGGTGTGTATTCTGGGTACTCCAATAAGCGGGAACAAAAGTCTATCACATGTCGCTGGGACCAGGTTGAGCTAGGAGACTGCGGTCGGACCATTATTGGAGTTTAAGATGGTATAAGAACTTTGTAAATGAAGAGCTCAGCCCATGTTGCCGAAGATGCGGCCATGAAAAGGAAGATGTCAAACATATGTTTGAGTGTCCAGGAACAATGGCAATTCGAATGGAGTTATGTGGACGAGTGGAGGTGCCGATAAGCATATTGACAATGGAGCCGAAAAAGAGCCTCGCTCTCGCTCGAAGATTTCTTCGTGGAGTCCGTCAGGCCCATTAAGGAAACAACAAAAAATCATTATCATCATCATCATCATCAGCAGCAGCAGCAGCAGCAGCAGCAGCAGCAGCAACAGCAGCAGCAGCAGCAGCATTATTTATATATACATATATATATATATATATATATATATATATATATATATATATATATATATATATATGTGTGTGTGTGTGTGTGTGTGTGTGTGTGTGTGTGTGTAGGTGTGTGTGTGTGTGTCATGTGCATGTGTGTGTGTTCGTGTGTGTGTGTGTCGTGTGTATGTGTGTACGTGCCCATGTGTGTGTATGTCTGCGTAATGCACAGAAGTGAGGAATTACAATAATTGTGAAAGACTTGATTGAAAATACCAACTTGCAATGATGTAGAACATAAAAAGATAAAACGAAAAACGTTTTATGCTGATCTGGTGTCTTAAACGGTGAAACCAAGAACCGAACCCCTGATCCTACGACAAGAAGCCCAACACCTTAGCCGAAACACTAGCAAGTAAGTACTCAGTCTGCAACGAGGTGTCTCGAGGATGGACACTAAAACTCTTTAAAGACGCTGCAGACACATATCCGATCAGCAACAGACCAAAATTAATTCAATGTAAATCCTTATTAGCCTACAATCCACCATATACAAAATAGTCAGAAACACACTTTTTCACAATTCTAGGTATGCATGCGGTTGCTTGCCTGCCTTTTCAAGCTTTAGATGGATAAATTAAATTTAAAAATTATTTACGAATAAGTAATCAAAATTAAATGAAGCAGTACTTGTAGAAGCAGACGGGGCCGCTCGCTTATAATAACAATCAGTGATAGACAAATGCAGTGTCTGGAATACTTGAATGGACATTTTAGACCCTGGACATCTAGCTCTCACTTGCAAAACTAAAGACAAACGAGGCAGGGTAGTACCAGAACAACTTACTAAGAGAGCCTAAACAGATGGGTCACTGGGGAAGATCAGGACAACGTAGTGCCCTTTAGAGGATCCGAGCAAAAAAATGAATAAAGAACTATGTCGCCGTTGTCTGTAACAGATCTTGGCACTTGATGATGGTGATTATACAGATGCTGCTGCTGCTGCTGCTGCTGCTGCTGCTGCTGCTGCTGCTGCTGCTGCTGATGATGATGATGATGATGATGATGATGATGATGATGATGATGATGATGATGATATAAATATCGAAGTTTTGCTTATCTTATTTAGGGTGCAGCACGACTTCAAGCGTAGATGGAGGCCCAGAATGGCGTGCTTAATAGGCAAAGGTGTACGGCGAAGTTAACGTGGACCAAAGAAACTCGTACAGAGCTGAGGCCAATCACTGGTCGCAGGAAAAAGGACCAAAAAATGCGGGGGGGGGGGGGGGAACAAGAAATTATAATTTTAAGGTTGATCATCCTTGGCTCGTGGTGTCGAGAGTGACTTATCAACTGATTTTCTCAAACTCTCGGCAACATTAAATCTTCCTGCTGATATTTCCACAGAGGTTAATAGTAGGTAGAAATCCACATTTTTTTTCTGCTCTCCTTTCCCATCTCATTAACAGGGGTAGTTTAAGTTTACTTTGTTTTCAATTCAAAGTGCTGACTTTGAAATGACATACTTCAGTCTAGTATGGTATTGACACCCTCCCCCCTCCCCCCCCCCCCACACACATACGCACGCAAAATACATATGAAAATAAAATGTTACGTTTCTTTATCGTTACTTAGGAATTCCATCAGAATGCTCATGGATTTTTGCGTTGTATTTTTTATTTATTTATTTACGTATTTATTTACTTATATATTTATATACTTATTTATTTATGTACGTATTTATTTACTTATTTATTTATATACTTATGTATTTATTTATGTATTTATTGTAGGTGTTTTACTCCCCCGTTGACAAAATTTAGATAATTTAAGAAGCAGGCTTAGTCCCTGCCAGTTGAGACCAACCCGGGCTGAGAAGGATTCATCATCCAAGTGGAAAACGGAGGTACTCGCTAACCAATAACGTCCAATTTGCGACATGACATTCGCCAGAACCCAGAATAGGATCTTGTGGAGCTCAGCTGTAGATGGCTGCTCCAAGAAGTTTGAGCTCAGTGGCGTGTGTGCATGTAGGAGAGTGTGAGTGTGTGTGTGCGCGCGCGCGCGCGCGCGCGTGTGTGTGCGTGTGTGTGTATGTGTGTGTGTGAGAGAGAGGGAGAGAGAGAGAGAAAGAACAATCAAGAGAGAGAAAAAGAGTAGAGAGGGAGAGAGAGGGAAAAAGAAATATAGAGTGAGAAAGATAGAGAAAGAAAGAGAGGGAGATGAATATATATATATATATATATATATTTATTATATATATATATATGTATATATATGTATATACATATATATATATATATATATATATATATATATATATATATAGAGAGAGAGAGAGAGAGAGAGAACCCTCCATAACTCCATTATTCAACGGTCACTCACCGGGCCTCATGTTTTGCTCAACACAAGCTGGATAAAAAAAATTAGAAACATACTACACTCATCACAGGAGCTCTCGATTCTGGACGTTCTTGTTCGTCACTCATGGTCTTGTTCATGATCTATTTTTTAACTCTAGTCTGGTTCTATCTGCCTCGTCGCTGTTTTTTGGCAATCAGCTGTTGTGTCAAGGACTTCCGGACTCACGACTTGCAATGGTGATATTTACATAACTCCAAAGAAGCCATGTCATCAGCGTCCTATCGGTATAACTCTGATAGTATTTCAAATTCCTCAAAGTAAAAATAAAACGTTTTCTGTGAAACGGGAAGACCTCGACAATGTTTAGTTGAGGTTGGAAGCGCTGTTCGCTCATGCCTGTGGTGAGAAAGACACCAACAGAGCTAATGACAATTTCGTTTTGAATTGAAACGAGCCACATGGCAGTGTGCTAAAGAAGAAGAAGAAGTAGGAGAAGATAAAGAAGAAGAAGAAGAAGAAGAAGAAGAAGAAGAAGAAGAAGAAGAAGAAGAAAAAGAAGAAGAAAAAGAAGAAGAAGAAGAAGGAGAAGAAAACGACGATGACAAAGAGGAAGAAGAAGGAGAAGAAGAAAAAAATATATTTATCTATCTATCTATCTTGTTCTAGTAGAGG